TGACGAATCCCGTTTGATGACCACAGTGAGGATTGTGAAAATAAAGGTGAACTATGTGACATGAGAGAGAGGGCTTTGCGTTTTAGTTGACTCACCAGGTTATTCACATGTGAAGACCGATGTAGCTTTCTGCATCTCTACGTCGCGCCGAGGGCTAGTAAGCCCATAAAGAAACAATGGTTTTATACAGATGAAATAGCGAATGCTTAGCAGGTCCCGTAAAATGCTTATGGTGAACTTACAAAATATTAATAATCGTTAGCAAAACTGGTTTTACACCGGTGAACTCACTAAAGTATACGTAGCACAAACTGGAAATCCAAGGTAACTTCATAAGGAATGACGGCAAATAGGATGTTAATAAAAAATCATGTCTCCTCCTGGTGTACACATGCAGGAAGTGAAAACGGAACAAAATCGGGGATCGTCAGTGAAATCTCTTATAGTGACTTGTGTTTATCGACGGTTAATGAGTCAGGTAAGCTGGTGCGGCGTAATTTTTGCACCATCAACTCGGGTTTGAACACTGCCGGTTTTGGAGCGCAAATTCCGGTAGGTCATTCCAGGTTCTGCAAAAGCGTATGAAAAAGAAATTCCAAACGCATTCCAAACGACCGTGTTGTTCTAGCAGCTTAAAATGCTGGCCTCTCAAACCATTGTTGTGACTGAGCTCTGGAAATTAGCGGCACATCTGGTTAGCGTTTCTCAAAATCTAATAAGTCAAAATGAGGACCCCGCGCAATCGCTGATATTGTCCGCTGAAGACCCCGAGCAGCAGTAGCCTTAGTTCATGCAGCAAATTTTACAGCAGGTAGCGACAGCCGTGATTTTGGTTTCTCAGTATTAGGCAAATCATGAGGTGGTCTCCTAACTGAATCCGCTAATCACGGTTGGAAATTCCCAGAGCCCGCAGTCTGCGTTGGTTGCGGCTTGTAACAAACGCCTAAGGAAATTGGTCGTTCTATTTTAGGGGGCTTCAAGCGCATCCTATTTACAGCAGGAACGCCATCCTTTGTCATCCGTACAAGACGGAGTCTCATGTGAGCATTCAGCATTTGCGGAAAGACAGATTGATCGAAACTAGCGAAAGCCATTCGTAAACATATAACAGGTTTCCTAGATTATTCCGATGCTTTTTCAGTCCGTTTATAGCAATCAATTTCATGCTGCACAATTACTCCGATTTCGCTTTCCTCGGAAGCACGTTGCAACCATTGGTCAGCAAGTCGGTATTCATAGATACGCTGATAGCGTATACCCACAACTTTGAATTACGTTATGTTGAACTGGAACCGGTTTTATGATAATCACGTATGCGCTCTGCTGAGATCCCTTTGCATTGCTACTTGATCGTCCGCTATCATGATGTCTTGCTAGATCTTGACATCCTGTGTAAATAATAAGAAGTCTGGTAGTAGCACTCTGGTATGGTTATTGATAAAGACTAGGAGCAAAGCTCGTATTCCTGGCGCGCACGACAATGGACTTCAATTGGGTCAGAAATGAAGTTGGGGAATATCACTTTCAGGTGATGTTGAATAAGGAAGTTGCTTATCTAACCCAGCAAGTTATCGTCGCTTCCATATTTCCTAAGCTATTGAAGGAGAATGCGATGGTCCAGGCTACCGAAGGCTTTAGAGAAGTCTAAGTAGATGAAGTCGATCCATACTCTTGCAGCCAGCTCGCGCAAGCAGCATTTTTAGTGCAAGACCGATTTCGGCAGAATTCGTGCTGCAGTGACAATTTGCTGATGTTGCTCTCAAGACATCCCATGAGCATGTCTGCAATAATGCATTCCTTCATGAAAGCCCAACATCAAATAGTTGTATACAAAGTAACATGAACCGTTTTATTTTATGGTATGAAACACAAAATATTTTCCACAGGCTCCTTCATAGATCAAAACCACAATCTCGTCCCTGTATTTCCAAGTGAAATCAAGTATCTAACGACATACAGCATATTTGTTGCTATGGTTGAATTAGGTGGTTTTGCATATCTCAAATTTTTCATGGCATTAGATTCATTGGTATTTATTATTATTCGACACTTGACCATTGTACAATTGGCAGTGCCACAACACATAGTTAACAACAAAAAAAAGGAGGGGAAAACGACTAGTCAGTGCTACGATTTGGAAAGTTTGGAAGGTTAATGTGTTGTGTGGACAGAGATCTTCCCGGTTGCCCGGGCCTAGGAAGTGGGTTGACTTAAGGACCCCAACCGGAGCCTTTGGTCTTAAGACCTAACTCGCAAGGCAGCGGGGCGAGTAACAAAGACCGCTGACATCCGGATGCCTCCTTCGCCTTCTTTGTCTTCAGTAGCCGTCCACAGAGAGGCCAGTGGCCAACAAGGTTGTTCATCCGCTCTCCGTTATATACTCACCTCGGTTACAGAAGTAAATGATCAGTGACCCTATAGCCGGTCACATTGGCTTTGACACAGCGCCGTACGAGCTCTTGTGGGATTTGATGGAGAACCAGGTGACCAGCCCAGAAGGCGCCGCGCTCTGAGACGCTGCCGCTGATTGTCCGCGACTACTTATTCATCTCGCCTGTAAGGCAAGCGAAATTTATTTGTAGTTACCTCCACAAGGAAGGCATTCCCTAATCCGCAACCCGGGGACGCCCCCGATAGCGTACTGCTTTGCCACGCGATGGCTTTATATGATATAGGCTCATCCGGTTTGGTTCTGATTAAAATTATTTACTTGAACAACCGACATGTTATTGATTAGTGTAAGCGTATAATGACCATCACAGAAAAGATTTATGTTCTCAGTTAAAACATAACCCCTAAGTGTTATCTTTAAGCTATAGCTTTCAAATAAAAACCCCGTGTATGCATGGTAAATTGATCTAGAGCTACTTTTGGTGTTAATTCAAAAATAGATGTGCAAACAGTATGGATGAAGTAGTGTCAACTGGACACAGGTGTTCCAAATACTTCCACCTTATAAACTGCCAGCAATTTTTTCTGTTACTAATGAAGTTCTAACAGTTAATATCTAATGTGACGGATATGGCTGGGTTTCAGCTTCCCTATTTATAAGAAGAAGATTAATAATAAGACTGAGATATATTTCTCGTAGTACCGAGAAATCAAGCCCGCAAAGGGAAGGATCATTTTTACATTACAACATGCGCCGACATGCGAGAATGTTAATTGTTTGGGTTTTTACAAGGTTACAATAGAGATGATTTTGCGAATATTTTCATTTGAGACTTTTGTCGCCGTAGGTTACCAGTTCTCAGGCATTCTCATTTGGTTGTTTTCGATGCACCTTGGTGGTGCCGTTATGGCAGCAGATTGATGGGGGGGAAGGGAGTATAAAAAAGGATGAAACAGTTAGATACACCAATCAAAATCGCATGAGTAGTACACAATCTTACTAAATAGACTGGAGTAATATAGTTGAACTATTTGTGAGTAGCAAGTGATGGAGTTGCAAAATTAAGGTAAAGAATATATTAAGGTAACTCCAGTGGATCAGGAAAATCAAGTTGATTTATCAGAACTATATAGGCAGTATTCACATCTTAGGGTGCCAAGGCATATCGTAGTGTCTAGACATTATTTCCTCTAATTATAGTGTTTATCTAATCAAATTGTGCTTGGGCTGCCAGATGGTTGAGATGTTGGTCGAGCTCAGTTGCATTCCTTTCAGCTTTGACTTGTAGGTGGATATTTATGACGTGCGTGACTATGCATGGTAAAGGTAATGTTGAGACAAGAGAATTAACCAGATAAGTAGCTAAATAAATAAAAGCCTATTCACCACAAAGTCAGAAATTATTCAATGTACCGTAGTCTTGCAGAAGCTGCCAAAGACAGGATGATTAGGAACATGTACAATAGTTATCCGATTTTTGGTATAGAGATGGGGAGAAAATGCACCACAACTAAGAGCGAGGCTATTGTCTAAGTAAAAGGTAATGCCAAATAACGGCAAGACGGTAGAACGGTAGAGATGAATTACGTGAGTATCAGGAGCACAAAACATTTTATGAGGACTGAAGTGAAGTAATATGGTCATTCTTAAAACCGTCTAGGTAAAGGTTGAACGAAGGGTTAAAAGGAACAGATTGATGTTATAAGACTTATATAACTACCCTGGCTCAGTCCAGTTAAATCTGTTTCCAAAATTTCCAACACCAACTTCGACCGCTAGCTGCATTGGGAAGCAATTCGCGCACGCTGCATTCAAATATCTCTGTATCTGCTCCTGATATAAGCATTTAACCATACTAACAGAAGCACCCAGACTCATTCGCTTCCATATATTGGACCAATGTAATCGGATACTGTGTGTCCACTGTTGAGTACCAACCTATCCGTAAATCAAATAAGTAGCCGCCTAAGGGGTGTATCCTTCTTCCTCTGTTTAGGACACGCATATTTGAAGCGCTGGAATCCTAGTTAAGGTGTCAATATCTAAAAATGCTACAGCCGCAATTAGCTGTAATGGCTATGTTGCTGACTTGATTAGAATTAACCAAGGTTGCAACTAAATACCTCTAGTCAGGTACTCTTAGGAGGCAATGAAACCGATATTGGTCCATCCCACCACCCCGAATACCGAGGTTGATCTCTTAAAACACGTCCAACCCGGAGCAGGAACCATTCCTACTTGAATGAACGGATAACAAAACACTGCCAAATTGAGTTTCAAATGTTTTCAAGCTGCCAGATAAATAACTTTTTCAACAAAAGACCCAAAATTAAAATATTTACTTTGTCGAAGGGTAAAATAATCACATGATCAGGTACACAATGTTAATTCACCCTCACAGTCGATTCATAACATCTTCTCAGACTTTATCTCTCGTCTATTCTTAGGTTGTTAAGATGACCCGTTTTTCAATTTCTTTAAACTTTGCTTAGAAAAGTATCCACAAATCAAGAAGCTTATGGGACCTGACTCCAGCCTTAAATGGAAAGTTACTTTCTTAGTTCTCTTCCAAATCACGACGCTTCCAATTATCAAGAACCTGAACTGGATGAGCCTGATTGTTCTGGCCTACTTCTTTGGTGGAGTCATCAATCATGCTCTGAATTTGGCCATTCATGAAATATCACATAACTTGGCATTCGGTCATTCTCAGATCTGGAAGAATCGTGCACTTGGGATTTTCGCAAATTTACCAATTGGTAAGCATTAACAAAGGTGAATCGGTTGTTTAGACTATGGAATATTTGACAAATGGTTGATGTTTTACAAATCTTCCTGTCAACAAATTATTATTATCAGGGTGCATGTTGTCAGCAATAACCGGTTGCATATTGGCAGCTTGTTTAAGGTTATTTTCCATAAAAGAAATTTAATTATTCTGGTTGAGATGTCTCCAAATTCAACTATGTCCTTTTTCTGAACTTGGCAGTCAAGCTAGCTAACAATAACCAGGAGGCTGATTGACAAACCGCTTGCCAAAAGCAACCGTCTCTTCATTATACAGACTCCTTTAGTTTTTATCCTTGGTTGCATTCCTTCTGTAGCTTAACTCGGATTTTGCTTCAGTGATTTGGCGCTTACTAAACAAACCGGTCTGCGTGCATTAGAATTGCAAAATAACTTCACTTGAAGGCTTGTAAGCAAGGCTTGTAAACTAAGTGTTCATGAGGCAGAGTAGCTATTCGCTCTGACTTCTTCCTCGTCCGATACGCTATCCCTTGGAATAGCCTGCCGACAACTATCGGGTGTTGTGTGCGTGCAATACTAAGTAAATCATACTTAGTAGTTTTCTAGTTCAGAAGTCCATAGGGGCCATGTTTTCCCCAAAACAACCACCAAATGAACTCCTCTAAGATGGATCAAGGAATCTATATTTAAGGACGAAAAACAGTTGCACGAAATAGCAACATAAAACTGGGTATTTTATGATATGCTAACCATATGGCGAGAAATCTCACTTTTGCGTAAACAAAATCATAACGGGGAGCGGTCCTCCAGGGGCGGCATGTGACAGAAAGCAACAATTTTAGTCCAGATAATTGATCGATGCCACGAGTAAATGGCAAAATTTCTACATAAGCCGTTGTTTAGATTATGGAATCGATAGTGGTATCGATACTTTAGACGCAAGTAAAGTCCAGAAGGTGTTTCTGTTATTTTGTACGCAAGCGATTAAACTATACAAATGAACACACCTTCAACAAAGCTCTAAAATTCGAAGTTTGCGCATCTAATAAAATATTGATTAGCTTTTCATAATTGTGAGAAGTTATTGATTTACAACTGTGAGGAACGGTGCGAAAATCTTACGACAGCCTCCGGCAGCGAAAGCTGTTGCCAAGCCACTGGTGTTATGGGTACTTCATGGTAGTTTTTACATTGCGTGATCTCGAAGTGTTCCTGCGATCAGTGACATCCATTAATACTTCTGCTGTTGACAGCTATAATAAGAATGCATTTTCCCTGGTTCACCAGAAATTCCCACTTTGTCTTGTTTTTGCAAGTATACTTAATATACCTAGCTGTAGGATGATATAACCTTAAGCTGAAATAAAGTATCATATTATTAGCAATGGCTAAGTGGCTCAAAATTCCAAAATGCTCTCTGTAATCGTTACGCTAACATATGGAGTTGTTCCTTTGCTGAGGTTAAACGCCCATAAATAATTCGCCTATGGTTTTGGAGGCGTGTCAGTTTAATAACAGCAAGGGATATAATTTGGCTCCTGAGACCCTGACAAAAGGACCAGAAGAAGTGTTTAGAACATGGCTGAAGAATGCAGACGAAGTGTATTATGCTTGATGTATCAGCAAAACAAAGATTTAGCAGATTTTATGGTATAATAGGTAAACGTAGCAAACCCAAACGCTCAGTAGGAGACGGCAAACATTTCAAAAGTTAGCCAGTTGATAATTCGCATTGAGAGACCTTTCAATGATATGCGTAAGCTGAAAGTAGCGAAGCACACAATTTCCCTAGGCTGGAAATTTGCTTTATGCAGGTTGGTATCTATCAAAAGGCAGCGAATCACAACAGTAATAAAAGTGTCCCTGAGGCTTCAAACACATGGTATACAACATTTGGTTTCGGCAACATGTTTTTCTATGCATCATTTTATCATTGAGATTTGAATTGCGATGCGAGTGTATTCCTCTTTTAGATGCTGACTAACTGCATTTGGTGATCAATCTAAGCCAATAGGACAATTGGTCGGAGGAATTGACGCAAACGTGGCCAACGTTGTCTGATCGTCAATGACACATAATTAGACTCTAAGCTGAAGCGAATGCAAAGAAAAATGGGGTAAATGAGCTGGAAGGGAGAAAAAAATAATGCAGGATCGAGTAACATCTGTTCCTTATTTTATATGGTTGCAATAGGGTCTCATGTAAAGCCAGAAGGAGTAATGATTGAAGAAGGAGTATGATTGAAGAAAGCAAATAAAAATTGCCAGCTTTAGTAGGCGTTTAATTCCCACCTCACACCTTGTAGTATTTCTGTAAGGTAGGCATGCAACACAACACCCACCCAGCGGTCGCCACGAGGAAGCGCCCAGGACATGAGACCGCGACAGAACAAAGAGCCACGACACACAATTGCAAGTGAGTCACTTTACTGACTCATGGCGCACTGCCGGCTGCAGTTCGAGCGTTAGTTTTATCGAAGGTCTTGGTTGAGGACCACAGTCCTTCTCCTATCAGGTGTGGATGCACTGACAATTTGCTCGTCCAACCCGCGAACATGAATCACGCCAAGAACGATAATCCCACGCTGCATCGATTGTCGTGCAGTGGCACTAGGGTCGACTTATCTGCTGCATACGGCGAGGTGGATAAGCGAAAACATGCTGTTGCTGGCGCCTCACTTCTTTCTTCTTCCTCTTCACATAGTCCTTCCACCCCAATTCACCTAACCAGCTACGCCCTCTAACACAGGTCAGCAAACGAGCGACCGACCGCCATCGCAATCGATTGCGTCCGCGGAAAGGCATTCAACATTGGGTGGTGGAAATTGTACAAACTGCGCAACCGGTACATCATTCCTTATCAGTATACGCGTTAGCTAGTGATGTACAACGCCCCAGCTACTGTGCCGTAACACATAAAGGAAAAAATCTAAAAGCAAGAGTTGCGCCTCAGCTGGGTGATTAGCAACGGATGGGCATCATTCCGGAAAGCTACCAGTCGGCTACTAGGTAACAAAAAATTCTTACGTAAAATTATATTATGATGCGAACTGAGGTCATGGTTGGAGGAGGAGGCCAAAACAGAAGGGGAGGGATAAAGAAACTCACAGCAGGAATGCAACTGAGGTCGGCTGCTAACTATGTCAGCAAGTGTATCTAGCCAAACGTGCTCATCGTCTTTTGGACCCCAACCAGGGAGTCGTGACACTCCAACCGAGGCCGCCTTCGAAATGAGGGCCTACATTCCTCTCGACCAAGTCATCGCTTGGCCACCTCTCCTCTTTTTCCATCCACATCCTCGGCGAACAAATAACGCACGTCGCTGGAGTCGGCGGTCCGGCATGGGTAACACGTGGCCTAGCCGTCGGATCATGGTGTGTGAAATGACGGTGCTGAGCGGTTCAGTTCCACTACTTGTGCCGTAATCAATGCGTTGCTAACACGGTGTTCCCACCAGATGTGAACCAAACAGCAGAGGCACTGGTGGTCGAAAGTAACTAGCCAATTTATGCCCGCTGATCTAAGGGGCCAGATTTTGCAACCGTACAGAAAAGGCGAACGTAGCACTGCATCGTACACTACCCTTCAGGTCAAGGGTGATATCGCGCCATCGACATAGGTGGCGAAGACTAGCGAAAGCACCTCAAGCTTTTGCTATTCGGTTCGTGGTCTCATCTTCGGTCACAAGGGCACTGATACAACTTACCAGGTACTTGAATTGCTGAACGACTTATAGCTGCTTCCCCCCAAGGGTTAACGCAGGGGCGATCCCTGCCAATCTTGGAGGAAAGTTTGCACTTCGTTGGTGCAAAACGTAGGTCCAAGCGTCTGACAGCCAGTACTAACCTGTCCAGTGCAGCTTGGCATGTCTGGAGCCTGTCAGATGAGGGCAAAATTGTCTGCACACTTCAAGTCAAGAAGTCATTCTCCTGAGAGTAGCTTCACACCTTCTAAGTCGTGTCCTGTATATTTCATCTACATGATTTCATCAATGGCGAAGTTCAACGGGCATCCTTGTCTCACATCGCTGGATATACTGAAGGGCAGCGACAGCTTCCCGTCATACCTCACACTGCCCATGCTACGCGCGTAAATTGCTCACATAAGATTAACCTATTTCTTGGACACATGCTGATCATATACTCACTGGTGCAGTCTGCGACTGAGACGCAGTGAGACTTGCTTTTTGGCTGTTGTTTAACGTCACCCAATGTCAACCCCAGAGATGGACTCCCGCCTGGCGTTATCATTAAGAAAGGTCCTACGAAGACGATGAAGTCATGTTCTTATCTCAGGTGACTTAATGATTCGGAAGTTCCGGCATCCCCAAAAGAGCAGTTTATGACCTGTCTGCCAGAGTATATTGCAAGCATTCCGCTCTTCAGCCATGTCATTTTACCCACCCGATTCAAAGCCGGCAATGAACCATCTGTTCTTGGTGTTTTGCTCACGAACGAAGACCTCATATTTGAGAAACCAAGACTGGAGAGCCCTCTGTTACGAAGTGACCTCGTAACCATAACTTACGACTTCGTATGTTATGCGTCATCCTTACTATACACGTTAGCTGCAGGTAGAAAACACCTCAGTTATTGCGCCGCCATACAATGGACAAGAAAAAAAGCAGTGGCATGCCGGCTGCATCCCCAGTAACGGATGGACATCGTTCCGGAGAGCTAACAGCTGGCTATCGTGCCGCAAAAAGTTAGGTTATGTCTAACGAATGCGATCGTGATTAGAAGAGGAGGCTAAGCATGAGAGGGATGGACAAAGAAACTCACAACGCAAACGCCTTTGGTACTGGCTCCTAGCCATATAAGCAAGTATGTCCAAACAAGCGTGTTCATTGTCATTAGGACTCCAGCTGGGCAATCGGGATGCACCAACTGACTCCAACTTCGAAGTGAGGGTTTTCATCTCTTTCGACCAAGTCATCGCTTGGCCTCCCCTCCTATTCTTCCAAGCGCACCCGCGGCATGCAAATAATGCACGTCGCGGAAGTCGGTGTGCAG